AACCATTATTCATATAATTAAAAAGGGCCTGCACACAATTATTCCCATAGGAAGGGTGGGGTCTGTTTCTGCAAGTTTTCTTCCTCACATTACTTGATGTAAGAGGATTTACTCTATACATTATTAAGTGATGTTATTTCTAGAACTTTATAAAGCTCATGAGTGCTGCCAGTGAAAAGAGGCTGCTGTTCGTGACTGCAGAGCCATCACTTCCCAGTATCATCACAAAAACAAGCAGCTTGCCTTTGACTCCCCACATGACAATGGACTGGCATCTGTCAACAGACTCGCATTATGTGGCCTGAGAACATGACTAGGACATTCGCTCTTGTGACAAGGCAAATTTCGGCAGCTCCTCTAGCAAGAGATTAGCATTCATTATGCTGCAGCACCTTTCCTCAAGCTAATGACATTTCAATCAGCACATATTCCCCAGTTTCGGTACTTTGCCATCTGAGCACAAGTCTCTAATTACGCTCAAGCAACAAGTTTCACATCAATCCCACAATTTATGCACTCACCGTACACCATCGCTCCTCCAGTTTCATGCAAGAAGCGGAATCGATGATTTTTAAATAACCAGATTGTCAAAATGGTAAGGATGAGCAAAAAATTAAAGACAAGCAGCTCCACTGCTCCCTGATGTTGAAACTGATACCCATCCTTTTCTGACATAAACCTTTGCTGTCTCTTCATTCTCCGGTCTTCTTGGGATTCCCTAAATAAAAGCCTGGATAAGGACTATTTTATCAAGGTTTGCCTAAGACAGTCCGCCTGCCTGAGAATTTCAGAATAAACACTGCCACTTTAGTTGCTACTTCACGAGCATTCTGCCCAGGCTTAGTATTCAGATGGCTTCTAGTTACAACTTCCTGTTTCTCTCTTAAAGCAGCCCCGTCTCTTTTCAGACTCCACAGTGTGGTTTCATCATCTGCTCTTACTGTCTTTAAATGATTCACTCCACGAAAATATCTTTCATATTGGAAAAATCTGCAAGCAATGATTCTAAGATATGGAGCCATGGTCTTACTGTTTCAAACAAGTCTTCTTAAGCTCCATAACTGGTGAGTTGTAGATTAAAAACAAACCAAAAAAAATTGCCTTATATCAGCGACAATTTCTAAGTTCAAAAAGTCAG